CTGTCTATAGTGGGATCTGATGCACGTAGGGGGATCCGCTGTATGTAGGTGGGTCTATTGCCTCTATTGGGGGATTTGCTGCATGTAGGGGGGCCTGATGCCTTTAGGGAAGTTTTTTGCCTGTAGGCGGGTCTGCTGCCTATAGGGGGATCTGATGCACGTAGGGGGATCCGCTGTATGTAGGGGGGTCTATTGCCTCTATTGGGGGATTTGCTGCATGTAGAAGAGTCTGATGCCTGTAGGGGGGGTCTGCTGCATGTAGGGGGGTCTGATGCCTTTAGGGGAGTCTGCTGCATGTAGGGGGGATCTGATGCCTGTAGGAGGAAATGTGATGCCTATAGGGAGGGATCTGCTGCCTGCAGGGGTGATCTAATGCCTGTAGGGGTACTTGCTGCATGTAGGGGGGGATCTGATGCCTTTAGGGGAGTCTGCTGCATGTAGGGGGATTTGATGCCTGTAGGAGGGAAAGTGATGCCTATAGGGAGAATCTGCTGCATGTAAGAGGGAATGTGATGGCTATAGGGGGGATCTGCTGTATGTAGGTGGGATCTTATGCCTGTAGGAGTGAATGTGATGCCTATAGGGGGATCTGCTTTATGTAGGGTGGATCTGATGCCTGAAGGAGGGAATGTGATGCCTATAGGGGGGATCTGCTGTATGTAGGGGGGATCTGATGCCTGTTGGAGGGAATGTGATGCCTATAGAGGAATTTGCTGCATGTAATTGCATTGCTGTATAATGTATTGCTGGGATTTGTAGTCCTCTATAGCTGGTGGTATGCTGCATTTCTGTATAACGTATTACTAGGATTTTAGCTGATTGTTATTCTGTCAGAGAGGAACAGGGTGGATTGGGGATTTAGTTCTGCCCCCAGGCGACCGTAACTCTGTACAGGCAATACACTGTACAGGCAGCCCTCTTGTACCGGTCGGGCCCCATCAAGTCGGCAGCGGGGGCCCTAACCCAGCACGGGCTGCCTGTAGTGAAGGAGGATGGTCCTGTCCACTTGCCATGGTAACCAGTTGATTCGCAGGCTCCTCCCCTCCTTCCCTACAGGGACTTGGGCTCCTTTGCATAGAAAGAGGACAGGAGCCTGTCACTCGGCTAGTGGGTGGGACCATCCGCCAAGCATATCTTTCAGAGTGCCTTCTGCTCTTTCACAATTATACTGGATATACCGTGTATACTATACCACTGAAAAAAATATTTTCATCCAAACTAAAGCCAGATGAAAGGAACCCTGCATGGTCCCGAAACGTTGCATCCATGTTTTGACAACATGCGTCAATAAACAGACGTTTGCTTCATTCTACTTCGGTGTACTGGTGACATCTCTGACAATGTTTTAAAGTGACACTGAACTTAGGAGTTAAACCTCAAGAATGCATTCAAGTACACTAACTATTAACAAAAATTTATCTTATTTGTGTATCACTCGGCTATAGATCCTCAAATCATCTCTGAATTCATGCTGACACTGTCCTTCCTTCTTGACCGTGTCTACTTTGTTCCCCATGGTCCCTGTGTGTGTTGTAAATTAGCCACCCTTAAGCTCGCTCCTGTGATGGTCTACTATCTCCTATTTAGCTTACTAATGTGTATTGGGATTGTTGTCCATCATGGGAGTGAGCTTGGAGTGGTGGCTACTTTACAACGCACACAGGGACCATGGGGAACAAAAGTAGCCACCCTCCAGAAGGAAGGACAGTGTCAGCATGAATTCAGAGATGATTTGAGGATCTACAGCCGAGTGATGCACAAATAAGATACATTTTTGTTAATAGTTAAGGTGCTTGAATACATTTTAAAAATTTAACTTGTGAGTTTAGTGTCACTTTAACCACTTGCCATCCGCCCGTTGTAAAAAAACGGACGGACGGCACTGCAGCATTGGCGGGTTGCTGTCTCCAGACGGCATTTTTTTTCTGCTCGCGCGCGCCCCCTAGCGGGCACGCACGGGCAGAAAAGACCCGACCAATGCAAACACCCGTTACTGGGTGTTTCACATATAGGCGATCAGCGGCTCCATAGCCCGCCGATCGCCTATATGTGCTCGTTACCCCCCGACCCCTCACCTTGAATCCCGGGATCCGCTGCCCCAACTGCGGCCCGGGACCGGCTCGGAGGGCGTCAGGAAGAGGAGGACGGGAGATCAGCTCCTTGCTGATCTGCGTCCGGGCTGTGAATGCGGAAGTGATGTGTATTACATCACTTCCGCATTCACCTGTCAGTCATCTGGCTGCTATAGCCAGAGAAAAGAAGCTGATGAAGCAGATCTCTGCTTCATCAGCTTCTTTTGGGGTCCACAGGTGACATTAGGGGTCCTAGAGACCCCTAATGTCTCCATAAAGAGGACCTGTC